AGTCATGGTGCCTCTGTTTAGAGGAACAATTTACTTTTCAAAGTCGTGGTGCCTCTATTTAGAGGAGCAATTTATTTTCCAAAGTTGTGATGCCTCTGCTTAGAAGAGCAATTTACTTTTCAAAATCGTGGTGCCTCTCTTTAGAGGAGCTTTATTTATTTTTCAAAGTTGTGATGCCTCTGTTTAGAGGAGACTTTATTTATTTTTCAAAGTCGTTGAGCCTCTGATTAGAGGAGCCATTTATTTTTCAAAGTCGCTGAGCCTCTAATTAAAGGAGCCGTTTATTTTCCAAATTCATTGAGCCTCTGTTTAGAGGAGCTTTATTTATTTTCCAAAGTTGTGATGCCTCTGATTAAATGAGCCATTTATTTTTCAAAGTCATTGAGCCTCTATTTAGAGGAGCCATTTATTTTCCAAATTCATTGAGCCTCTGTTTAGAGGAGCTTTATTCATTTTCAAAGTCGTTGAGCCTCTGATTAGAAGAGCTTTGTTTATGTTTTTCAAAGTCGTTGAGCCTCTACTTAGAGGAGTTTTGATCAAATCTTTAATACAAAAAAAATGAAAAAAAAGAGGTCGAGTTGAGTCTTGAATAAATGTCTACGTCTTTGCGCAATTTCTGTTTCAAAGAAAATGTGCAAAGAGGGGCAGCTATAGACACCCAATTTGGTCCAGGCCCGGATCAATTGGGCCTGGTCCAAATGGGTAGGCCCACTTTATTTTGTATTTTTGTATTTCTTATATTTTTATATTTTTGATTTTATTTTCTTTATTTTGTATTTTATGTATTTATTATTTATTTATTTATTATACTATTTATTAATATATATATTATTTTATTTTTATTATTATTATTATTTATCTATTTATATATTATTATTATTTATCTATTATTATTATTTATCTATTAATTAATATATTATCCTTATTATTATCTTTTTTATTTTATTATTTATTTTATTTTTTCTTTTCTTTTATCCTTTACCTGATTGGAGTTAGATTAGGATAGAAAATTGAGTTCTACCATGAATGTGGGATTCAATCAGAATCCAGATTGGATTCAAAGATTAAATCCCAATCTAAAGGGAATAGGGATTGATCAAAAAGTCTTCTGATCAATCCTTATAAATAGATCCACGGATCAAAGGACTTGAACAAAGAAAAAGGCAGACACAAAGAAGATTTAAAAGTTGAAAAGGGGTTTTGGTGCGTTAGAACAGCTTTAGGAATCGATGGGGAATTTTTGGAGAATTTTTTACGATTTTTTTTTTGGAAATTTCTAGAAAATTTTTAGATTCCGATTGAATTTTTTGGTGACCATTCGAGCCAAGTTTGAACTTTTCGGCCAGCTGTCCAGTTTTCGATAAGAATTTTCAGAAACCGACCAACTTTTCGATGAACTTCCGGTGAAAAACTTAGATTTCGACGATAATTTTTAAAATCTGGTGAGATTCAATCGGAGTTCTTCAGGTTTTGGAGAGAAAGGAGAGAAGAGGAAGGAAGAGAGAGAGAGGGAAGGAGGGTTCTGCTGAAAAAATAAAAAAATTAGCCTTTTATACCCGTCGAAAACAACATCGTTTTGGCGTTACTGTTCCAAGAAGATCCGCGCGTTTTGCCAAGATTCGACCCGACCCGAGCACCAACCCGCTTTCGACCCGCGTGTGACCCGCGTCCCCGAGCCGTGTCTTCAAGCCATTTTTCTTCCTCAAGCCGAGCCGAGCCGAACCGTTCCTAGGTTTTTTTTGTTTATTTATTATTATTATTATTATTATTATTATTATTATATTAGAATTGTTTAATTTTTTTTAGTTTCTTTAAATAAAATTAAAAAAAAATATTTTTGAAGAAAAGTTGAAAGTGTTAATTTTCCTTGAAAATAAGCTTTCCAAAAATATTTTTGAGGGAAAGTTGAAAGTATCAATTTTTCTTAAAAATAAATTTTCAAAAAAGGTTTTTTTTGAGAAAAAGTTGAAAGTATCAATTTTCCTTGAAATTAAAGTTTCTAAAAAAGTATTTTGGGGAGAAGTTGAAAATATCAATTTTCTCCTATACAAAGGCAATCATTCTTCTCTTTCCTTTTTATTTTCTTGAATTTTTTTTAATGTTAAATAATCCAACAATGGAGCCTCTGCAAGTGAAACAGTAGTTTTCTTGCATACTCTTGAGGTGAGGGGATTTTCTCAATTTTTTGCTAAAAGTATTAGAGTCAATTGAGAATAATTTTCACTAATTAATTACTTGATAAATTTTTAAGGCTTATTGGATAACACAAAATTAAGCTGGTACCATCTTTTGATGGGCATTGTGAGGGTGCTATAACCTTCCTCACACGTAATCGAACTCTCAAACCCTGTTCTGGTTAGTAGAGCTGAACCTACTCTTTTAGGGACCCTTAAACTTAGGTGTTCCCTGAAAGGATAGATTCCTTAGGTGGCCAATCGCACCTAGATAAAAAAGATTGGTGGTGAATCCTTAAGTTAATGTCTAGCGATAGATCCCCGGATCTAAACGTTATGACAAATATGATAAAAAATTTTCTTTTCTTCCATAAAAAATAATAAAATAAAGAAAGAGTAATAAAATTTTGTTGGCCTTGAATTAATCAAGAATTTTGATTTGACAAAATAAAAATTTGCCTAATTTGACACAACCTTTTTAAAGCTTGAATTGAACATTTTTCCACCTTTCTATCTTGCCAGAATCAATTTGAAATCCAAAATATGTCAAATTCTCGGAACAAAACATGTTTAGTGCAAGCTGTGATGGAAGGGATCGATCCCCTCTTTATCAGATCGATCTTCTAGCAAAAAAAATCGATCCTGTTTTCTTCCAGAATTGAAAATCCTTCAAGTTTTGGCAAAAACCAATCGATCCCCTCCCTATAAGGATTGATTGGTTGAGGTTGCAAGATGATCAGATCGATCCCCTCAATCAAGGGATCGATCACGTTTTCATACATAATGCTTTCTTCATGAAATTTTCCAGAAAAAAGATCGATCCCCTACATATGGGATCGATCACTTAAGGCAAGGGATTAATCCCCTATTAAAGGGATCAATCGATTGTTCAAATAGAATGCTCCCCAAGTGTTGAAACCTAGAAAAGGGATTGATCCCCCCACATAGGGAATCGATCACCTAAAGAACAGATTGATCCCCTAAAGCAAGGGATCGATCGGGTAAGGCAAAACAGGCATAAAATCGAGCCTTTTCAAACATAAACTAATTGATCCCCTAAGGGAGGGGATTGATCCCCTGAAGGTCAGAAACTTTCAATGGCTATTTTTTTGCTGAAATTTCTGTAGGTTTGAAGCATTAAATGCATTCCAACAGCTCTTAGCTTTTTTTTAACTATAAATCAAGCATTCCACTGCAGACCAAGAGTAACAAGAGTTAAAGAAACTTATTGCTATTCACCTACCAATCTGCTCAAGCATTCAAAGCTGTAAAAAGAGAAAAAATGTAGAATTTATATAAGTTTTTCTCTATTTTCTTATCTATACCTTTGTGTACTTATACTTAGCAAACACCTAACCTTTGTGAGGTTCTTAAAGTTTGCCAAACATTTCTAAATTTATGTATTATGAGTGTGTAAGCTTAAGGGGGAGGATAACCCTTAAGAGTGTATGTTGTTGAGTTTGTAAAGCTTTGTGAAAGCTTAGTTGTAATCTTCATTTAATAGTGGATTGAACTCCTTAGCAAGAGAGGCTAAAGGAGAGGAAGTAGGTGCCTAAGAAAGGACCAAGCCTTTATAAATCTTGGTGTTAAATTCTCTAACCCCATCTCTTGTTTATATTCATCTATTGTGCTTATTTGTTTTGAAAATTTATGGTTATTGAATATTATCTTTCAAAAGTTTATTAAAACCAATTCATCCCCTCTCTTGGTTTATTCAAAGTCTTTGAGCTAACAATTGGTATCAGAGCTAGTACTCTTTTTTGTAGGTTTAATAGCTTAAGAGTGATCCTGAAAATGGCTCAAAGAAATATAGTAATCAATGTGAAAAAATGATCCTCAAGCTACAACAACTATACCAGCCAACAAAAGGTGTGTCTTATGATAAATGAAATAGTTTCAACATCTCTTGGAAGTGAAGGGCATTCAATTGTTAAACCTCCTCTCTTTGCTGGAGACAACTACTCCTATTAGAAGACTAGGATGAGGTTATTCATTCAAGCTAATGATTATGAAGTTTAGAGGATCATTGTAAATGGTCCTTAAATTCCAATGAAGATGGTAGATAGTAAGGAGGTGATAAAGCTAGAGAATGAACGGGATGTCAATGACATAAAAATGGCTCAACTCAATGCCAAAGCAAAGCACACACTCTTTTATGCATTGGGACCAAGTGAGTATAATAAAGTTTTCTTGTGTGAAAATGTAAAAAAATTTTGGGATAAGCTAGCAGTCACCCATGAAGGTACAAACCAAGTGAAAGAGACAAAAATAGGCATGCTTACTCATAATTATGAGCTGTTCAAGATGAAACTCGATGAAACCATTAGTGAGATGTCAAACCGCTTCACTGACATCATTAATGGTTTAAAGGCTCTTAGGAAGACATATTCAAATGTGGAGATGGTGAAAAAAATTCTCAATAGTCTATCAAAGAGTTGAGAAGCCAAAGGGACAGTCATTGAAGAATCCAAAGATCCTCACACACTTTCTTTGGATAAACTAATGGGCTCTCTCCTCACTTATGAAATAAAGATCAAAAGAGGACAAGAACCAGTAAAAAAAGGTGGCATTGCTCTTAAATCTACCTTTTAAGAGGATGAAGAAAATTTTGCTCAAGAGAAGGATGATGACGATGAGGAGATGGTCATGTTTGAAAAGAGATTCAAGAAGTTCATGAGAATGAACAAGTTTCCAAGTAAGAGAAGACCATAAAGGGAGATGACTAAAAGGGAATCAAGTAGAAGAGAAAGGGATCAAATTATTTGCTACGAATGCAACAAACCAGGTCACATTAAACTTGATTGCCTTTTGTGAAAAAAGCAAAACATGACCAAGCCAAAGAAAAAAGCTATGGTAGCAACATGGAGTGATAGCAACTTCTTCAATGATGAATCAAATGAGGGAAAAGTAGCCAACCTATGTCTCACGGCTTTCGATGAGCCCAAGGTAACCTCTAATCCATGTGATTTAAATTTATACTCATTTGATGAACTACAAGATGCCTATGATGAATTAGCTATAGAATTTGAGAACATGAGCATGAAATATAAGAAAATGGTCACTAAATTGAAACTAGAAAATGAGTCATTGACTAAAGCAAAAGAAGACTTAGAAAAAGAAGTTGAGCTCTTAAAGGTAAATGTCAATGACTTGACTAAGAAAAATGAAAATCTATATAATTCATTTTCTAGATTTTATATGGGTCATCAAAAGCTCAATGACATGCTAGAAACACAAATAGCTTTCTTTGATAAAGATGGACTAGGTTATAATGGTGGCAACAAAGAGACTCATTTGAAGAATTTCCTTATTAAGCCAAATGATTCATCTAGCATGTGTACACATTATCATAAATTAGGTTATTCTATATAATATTATTCCTTAAAGAAAATCACTTATAGAGGTAAGCTCATTAGAAGAGTGTGGATTCTAAAAAGAGTTAGCACATCTCAAGATGAGGCTACTAAAATGAAGTGGATTTTAAAAGGCACAAAAATTATTAGTACTAACTCTCAAGGACCCAAGAAAATTTGGGTACCTAAAACAAAAATTTAATTATATTTTTGTATGTGGATGAGCACTGCTTGATAGTGGATGCTTAAAACACATGACCAAAGATAAAACTCTCTTTAAGGACTTGAAAGCAAAAAGTGAAGGAGATGTTACATTTGGTGCAAACTCAAAAGGCCAAATTGAAGGGATTGGCTCCATTGGTAACAATTCCTCTACTTCTATTGAAAATGTTTTACTTGTGAAAGGTCTCAAGCATAATTTACTTAGCATTAATCAATTACGTGATAAAGGATTGAGGGTTGTGTTTGAATCCATGTGCTGTCAAGTAATTGATATCAAAACTAACAAGCTTGTTTTTGTTGGACACCATCAAGGAAACATTTATGTAGTATATCTAGATAACCTATCCTTTAAAAATGTTTGTTTTATGGCTCAAAAAGAAAATGAGAGTTAGATTTGGCATAGAAAGCTTGGACATGCAAGTATGCATGTAATTTTAAAACTTTTTCAAAATACTTTGGTTGTTGGTTTGCCAAAGTTGAAATATGACAATGACAAGGTTTGTGATGCATGTGCTCAAAGAAAACATAGAAGAATTTCTTTCAAACCTAAAAATTGCATTTAAACTACTAGACCTCTTTAACTATTGCATATTGATCTTTTTGGCCCTACTAGAACAATGAGTCTTGGTGGAAAACAATATGGGTTTGTTATTATTGATGATTTTACTAGATTTACATAGGTTCTCTTTTTGCATTCAAAGAATGAGGCCTTGGAAAAATTCGTTACTTTTAGCAAACAAATACAAAATGAAAAAGGTTATTTAATTACTAGTATTAAAAGTGATCATGGAAAGGAATTTGAAAATCTAGGCTTTAATGAATTTTGTAGTGAAAATGGTATTAGCCATAATTTTTTTGCTCCCAGAACTCCTCAACAAAATGGGGCAGTAGAAAGGAGAAATAGAACTTTAGAAGAAATGGCTAGAACCATGCTTTGTGAAAATAATTTACCTAGATATTTTTGGGCGGAAGCCATAAATACTTCTTGCTATATTATAAATAGAGCTATGATTAGGCCAATTTTGAAGAAACATAAGTTATTTTCATCCTTTTGGTTGCAAATGTTTTATTTTGAATAATGGAAAAGATGATCTTGGTAAATTTGATGCAAAAAGTGATGAAGGAATTTTCCTAGGATATTCTTTGAACTCAAAAGCTTATAGAGTTTTCAAAAAAGAACATTAGTGGTTGAAGAATCTATTCATGTTATTTTTTATGAGTCTAACCCACCTCCGAGAAAGGTGCTTCTTGATGATGATGATGTAGGTATACTTCAAGAATGGATCAATGATGCACCTCATGACATTGAGGAGAAAAATCAAAAGGAAGAAAATGAGTTTCTAGAGGAGCCACAACATATAGAGAGAGAGAGAGCCAAATCATCCTAGAGAAAAGAGGTATGTCAAAGATAGTAAAATCATTGGTGATCCAACTCAAGGGGGTAAAAACTAGATCTTCTTTTAATGTATGTAATTATGTTGCTTTCTTATCCCATATTGAACCCAAAAATATAGATGAAGCAATAGGAGATGATCATTGGATTTTTGCCATGCAAAAAGAATTGAACCAATTTGAAAGAAGCCATGTATGGAATCTTGTACCTAGGCCTAGTGATCATCCCACCATAGGCACTAAATGGGTCTTTAGGAATAAAATGGATGAGAATGGGAATATCATTAGAAAAAAAGCTAGATTGGTACCTGAAAGGTATAGGCAAGAGAAAGGAATAGATTATGATGAAACCTATGCCCCGGTAGCAAGGTTAGAAGCCATAAGAATGTTGCTTGCATTTGCATGTTTTAAAACTTTTAAGCTTTTTCAAATGGATGTCAAGAGTGCATTTCTTAATGGTTTTATAAATGAAGAAGTGTACGTAGAGCAACCTCTCAATTTTGAAAATCCAAAATTTTCAAATCATGTTTATAAATTGACAAAAGCATTATATGGTTTAAAACAAGCTCCTAAAGCTTGGTATGAAATATTGTCAAATTTTTTGATTGAAAATGGTTTTAATAGAGGGAAGGTTGACACTACACTTTTTATTAAAACAAAAGGTAAGAACATTCTCATAGAGTAAATTTATGTTGATGATATTATCTTTGGTGCTACTAATGAAATTCTTTATCAAGAATTTGCTAAGATTATACAAGGTGAATTTGAAATGAGCATGATGAGAGAACTCACATTTCTTGAGACTACAAGTAAAGCAAACAAAAGATGGCACCTTCATTAATCAAGCCAAATACATCAAAGATTTGCTCATAAGGTTTGGATTGGGAAAATCAAAGCCTTGCTTGACACCAATGAGCATTTTAACAAAGCTTAACAAGGATGAAAAAGGTAAATATGTTGACTCTAAATTATATAGGTCTATGATTGGTTCATCACTATATCTTATTGCTAGTAGACCCGATATTATGTTTAGCGTATGTCTATATGCTAGATTTCAATTATCTTTTAGAGAAACACATTTGTCTGCCATTAAAAGAATTTTTAGGTACCTTAATGACACCCCAAATTTAGGATTATGGTATCCAAAAGGCTCTTCCTTTACTTTACATGCCTATTCCGATGCAGATTTTGGTGGGTGCAAAATTGATAGAAAAAGCACTTGTGGTACTTGTTAATTGTTTGAAAATATGCTCATATCATGGTTTTCTAAGAAATAAAATAATGTTGCTCAATCTACAATCGAAACTGAATATGTAGCAGCCATAAGTTGTTATGCTTAGGTTTTGTAGATTAACAATTGAAGGATTTTGGAATAACCATGGATCATATTCCCATTAAATGTGACAATAATAGTGCCATCAATCTCACCAAAAATCTAATTCAACACTCTAGAACCAAACATATTGAAATTAGGCATCATTTTATTAGAGATCATGTTCAAAAGGGTGATATTGTGCTTGAATATATGGATACCTTGCATCAATTAGCTGATATCTTCACAAAACCTCTTGATAAGGATAGATTTTATGCAATTAGAGGTGAACTTGGCATGATGAATGTTCCTTGAAGTGAATTTCTTGATGTTATGATGAATTGTGCACTCTTGATTGTTCTAATATATGTTTATCTAAATTTTTCTATTATTTATGCATGATTGTATGCTTGAATGATCATATTGCATGTTTTTCAAATCTTTTTAATTAATTTAAAAAAAAATGCTATAGCTTAAACCAATCGATCCCTTTTGGGAATGGATCGATTGGTTCTTCACCCAGTAGCTAGATTAAAGGGAAAAAATATGGAACTAATCGATCCCCCTGGAAAGGGATCAATCGGATAAGTAGGTAGTAGCCAATTTTTGTTTAACTCATGAATCGATCGATCCCCCTTGGGATAGGATCGATCAGGTATTCAACCAGTAGCTATAAGAAGTCTGAAATGAGCAAAATCGATCGATCCCCTTCAAAACAGATCGATCGATTCCATGCAAAGACCCATAACCGATCGATCCCTTACTTCAACTGATTGATCGAGTTATGCTTTTTGGGTGAAATAAAGTCGGGTCTTCCCTATTTCACCGATCATTTTAGATTTCCTCTCTCATCCTTTCTAAACCTTAAACACTTCACACCCAAAATTGCTTATCCCTAGCTCCATTTTGTGCAAATTCCTTCACTTCAACTTGACCTCTTATCGAAATTCCTTCTTAAAACCCATCAATTTCACCTCAAAATGACCCCAAGAACCAAAGTTATCGTCGGACGAAGGAACCCCACAAGGGAGTCTTCAAGCACCATGATGAAGGCCTCCTTTAATCAGAACTTCAACAATCCAAAGGCAAAAGACTGGTACGAGATGAACTTTGCCTATCGAAAAGTCAAACACAGTAGGGTAATTTCCCTAGATTTTCTTCGCTCTATAAACTTTTCTTACCTGCATATCTTTAAGGCATTGGTTGGCTATATTACTTATGTATAGAGGGCCTGTTATTTGAGAACTTAGAGTTTTCTATAGTAATGCAAGCTGTATTCAGATTAAAGGAACAAATAGGCATTATCTTGATAGGTTTAGAACTTATGTGATGGGAAGGGAAATTTTAGTCACCAAGCAAATGTTAACTAAAGCCTTCAAGCTAGATGATGTGGGAGAAACAAACACTAGATGTGATATGGTGCAACTTGCACAATATATCTTTAGCAATCCAAATCTCCTAGTTGCTCCCACTCAAGCCTCTCAGTTATCCATGCATGATAGATTGCTCCACCTCATAGTTACCTATGTTCTAGCACTTTTTGGGACACAGTACTCCACCATTAGTAAGCAAGATTATTGGTGGATGTATAAGATCAATAATGGACAGAAACCAAATTTAGTGCGTTTCATTTTTCATGATATGTGAGGGTAGTCTAGAACAAAGAT